CCCATTCTACGCTCCATAGGAGTAAGATCATGACAAAGGAAAAATTTTGCCTTCTCTAGGTACGCAGTGACACGCTCTCGATGGGTAAAGATTGTGTCAACCTCGATTGATGAAAACAATTTGACTAAGATGGGTGGATTTTCGCTACGGGATGACAAGCGTTTGGCATCTGCTATTTTATAGTTGAAACCACATGAATACAGGAAACTGGTCGCAACATCAGTTGGCCGAACAGATCGAGGAACATTTTTTAGCAGGAAGTTGTAAGAACGCTTCTGTCTATCACTAGATTCACTGGCGATCAGGTGAACAAGTGAGTCGAGACGCCTACATTCTTCAGAGGGAATATCGGAGATGTTCCCGTCGAATAAATGTCCAAGAATTGTCAGCAAAGAGCCAAACTTTAGCATAAAGTCATTGCAGTGGTCAAGTGCAGACAGATTAAGCTGCCGACCAATTACAACGGGTGACGACTGACTAGTAATATCATCTGACTTAGACTTAGGTAAAGCTTCTGACTTACGTTTAGTTAGGCCATGTTTACTTACAAGAGCCGAGAGCTTACGTCGACCAGTGACTTTTGGTCTCATCTTGTCTCGAGGAAATTTGTGATTAAGAGAACTTCTGGCAGACAAGTAGACTGAATTTCAGCTAGGGGCTAACGATGTAAAAATAAATTACAACAGTTAGAGAGAGATCGGATGCACAAAATGAGAATTGCAAAGTGCGATTAGTGAACAGCGGGCGTAGACTAGCAAAACTCGAAAGGAGATGGCAGCTGACAGTTCTTAGAGAAAAGGCCTGTATTTAAGGAAATTCAACCAAAAAACGGTAACTAAAATCGTTAGATCTCACAGAAAAACCACTAAAAATAATATCCTCCACTTATCTTCAAATTTAAAACCAGCGGCTTACGATTGAACTGTGACCCAATCACACTTTAATGCAAACGTATCAAAATTCTCGGATGATAATTAATTTAGATTTATCTTGGGTATGAGGATTTCAAACGGTTGAGCGCCATCGGGCTCAGGATCATAGGATAAGGCGTAATTTTTACAGCCTTTTGACTTAAGATCTTCGGGTAGATATTTGGTGCCTTTTCTTCTCATATCTAGAGAGACTGTCCAAACAGTTCATTTTCGTGCCCTGTAGAAATCAGTGATGGTGTGCCTTGAAAGTTCCACCTCCGCCGTGGATATGATTGTTTGCTTGAACCAGACGATTTATTTGATTCTGTAAACAGGTCACCTGTGAATCAAGCGGATTTTGAAACAGCATTTGGCGTGAATACAGTGCCGCAACACTTAAAAAACTGTTCCCCCCGTCGGCCTGTCTTACGGGAATGGTGGTAGGAGGGGTTGGACGTGCGGGCCTCTAAAACGTGCCAAACAGCAAGGAATATAATACACGATAATTAAAAAATTGCATTTACGCCAACATTTGTTTAAATGCATCAAAAGAACCTCATAAATGACCTTCAGACTGAGAACGCAGCCTATGAGAAGGCTGAAAGTGGCCTAGCACATCATGTGTTAAGGCTACTGGCCAGGCTAGAACGTGAGCCGTATTGGCCTGCGGGCTGACCAATCGGCAGGCGTGAGTGCGTGTGTTGTTCGCGCTCTTCAGGGGAAGTTTTGCAGTTTTGCAGTTTTCTCTGAAAAAGGCAAGGGTAGAGAGACATCGGGTGTGCGATGTTGGTTATGGTCAAAAGGCGCCATTGTGCCGTCCACCGTACGCAATACGATTTCCATGCGGAAGGGTGCGCAAGGGTGGTAAGCGGTAGATTAGGTAAAGCAAGTTCGATAACTTTAATGCGACTTTGAACAGAAAGAACGGGAATGTAGTATGTAGTATGCTGTATTGGGTGGCATATCGAACCCCAGGAAAGAGTCAGCGGAGACTGTAAAATGTGCGCATTTTAAAAAGAGGATCATGCCCACTCCTAACCTGCCTACACACTGGTTAATCAAGTAACGAATTGATTTAGTAGGAAAATGTTTAGGGAAGTATTTGGTGGGACGCAAGTAATTACCATTAGGTAGGTCAGTCAAAAAAAACTGGCTGACGACATGACGGCTATACGATTTAACTGAATAACAATACCAGACATTTACGAATACATGGGACCGGTATGGCATACTAATTAAGTTACCTACGTAGCTGACGGACGTGGTTAACTACTTTCCTAAAGTTTTACGATTTGAACTCTCTAAACCTGATATGCGTAAGTTCCTAAAATAAGTTCTACAGTACATCAAATCAAAAGGGAAGGTTTAAGTTGTTCAATTTTGGACACTTCTTACTAACATGTCGCGTGCCGCCCTCTGCCTACATGATTAACCGTTTCATTTACATAGATCTCGTTTAGTTATCTTGATGAAATTTGTATGTTTAAAGGCGCGCGTGCCAGCTATTATCATATAGAATGCATTAGCAGCAATCAGAGAACTAGAAGGTTTATTATCTTGACGTCACGGATTCTCACTCCAACCCGTCTGCAGTCGTCCCTGATGATGCGTTCGAGTGAGAATGCGAGATGTCAAGCGGACAAACTTTGTATTCCTGTGATCGTAGAAGCAGCATTGTACAGACTATATGCTAGCGCATTGGATGTTTACAGATATTTAGAAATGGACTTTCGATTTCAGGAGATTGCATGCAGTAGGCCGGCTAACACATTAATTGTTAACTGAATTTCTGAAATACATTTTCGTTTCGAAAGGACTACCCAGGTAACGTTGCAAAATTAATCATCACGCAACATACGTCCGTAATAGGTCAGTCAATTTAGGATGT